TTTTTTTTAATAAATAATGTTAAATTGTTTTTGTAACTGTTTACACACCTTTCCAATTCCTATAAAGAGAAAAATCAAAATTAATATAAAATATACATAAATAAAGCTAACGAAATAGCACACGAATAATGAAAAACTTACCGAGATGAACAACTCCTGATTTATTACTTTTTATTACCTGTTTTTTCAGTCAAATCCTTCGTTGTATTAGCGATATCATTGGTAACAGTATCTCTCTTGGCCATTGGCATTGTTTTTGACATTGATCTTGGCAAAAAAATTGATCCACGAATTGGAGGCGCACTTTTCCCACCTTTCCCCAATTTTAATTCTACATGCAATTCCCATGTTGAATTCGGTTTTCCTACTTCAACGGCCTATATGATAAAATATAATATAAATTATAGGTGACGTAACGGATAAATAAGCTCAATGGTTTGTAAATACCTTGATTAATGACACAGCATCCGTAAATGGGAGAGAATTATCCGGAATTGCTTTTGCAGCGTGTCTCCTTCTTCTTCGAGCATATTCTCTTATTTGTGGTACATCCTTAATATAAAGCGACCAAAAATGTAATCGCTTGAAATTTGTAGCATATATCGATAATGGCAGTCAACTTACCACTTTAATTTTTTCAGGGAAATAGAGAGAGTTAGTTTGTATAATGGATTTGAATGATTGATGGAATCGCAGAAAATTTGTCCTTGCGTGGAAAAACATTAAAAATAGTAATGAAGAATATGCAGAATATGCACACGGTTTACAATTTATATGCAGTGCAACGATCAAATGAGTAATAAATATAGATTTTATCCGAATTTTGTCCCTTACGAAAAAATGAGTTTTATATATCCTCTTCCGACTACTGGAACCATTTCATTTTCTGATTTTTTGTTAGACGAGAATAATTCATATATAAATGAAATCTCCGAAGCAACTGCCCAAAGAGGTCGTGTTCGTGCTGCTTTGAAGGAAGTTAATAAAACAGACGGACCGAAAGATTACATGAATGTCATGAAAGTATGTGTATACACGTCTAAAAGTGAAATAATATATTTCTTCTTTTGAGCAAAATTATATTTATGACGTCGTGTTCAAGTAGGTAATCGATGATTATTTGCCATATTTGCTTGCTATTGTCGATTGCCTAGAAGGAGGCCAACTGAGATTGAAAAAGGAATTTGGTGAGATATTGTATGCCGAAGCTATATTTTATTTGTTTGAAAACATTAGATCAATTTTAATTCATTTGGTTTTAGAGACTTCATGGCGTTGTACACTCAGCGATTCAGTTCTTAAAAAGAAACGAGTAACATGTCGAGGAATTTATTATGAATTAATTTTCACACTCATGACGTACGGATACGCATGTTCTGACTGGGCGTCAAGCATTATAGAAAAGGAATCACAGAAAGATGAAATTGATAATAAATTGAAACAGGTAGGTGAATTATGAATTCAATTTATTGTGTTTAATTGCATAATGATTTTGGAATCAATTAAAGGCGGCGGATATATTACGTAAAGCCTCAGGTGTTTTCGCGTATATCTCCGAAAAAATATGTCCCAAATGGAACAAGCCACCACCTTCCAGACCTCCGGATGTTTTAACCGAAATATCATCATCAATATCAAAGTAAAATAAATACTAAACTTATTTATAAGATTATTTGCATTTTTTAGTCGAAATTTATAATAATAATATTACTATTATTATTTATTTATTTTTGTTAATTATAGAATTGCTCTTGCTGATGCTTCATCAGTTGCTATCCGCAAAGCCCTCATGCAACAAACATCACCGTCTTTACTTGCAAAACTGGCTATTGGTGTTGCAGGACAGTATGAAATGGCTAACGGGCTCATTAAAAGTTTAAAAGAGTCAACAAAAGTATGTAGTGATTTCCGAAAGTATGTGTCGTATGGTGTATTGTTTCATCAGGTATTGATCTTTTTCTTTTTTTTATTTGAATATTTTGAATATTCAATTTGTTACTATGGTCTTTTTTATCATTAATTGAAAGTTAATTTTCTGTTCAGTCACTTGGAAAGAAATTCTTG